CTTCATCATGTAATCGTGCACATGCCCCTGTTCAACCCTTTACTGGGACAAAGCAAGTAACTGGCCAAAAATGCACGTGCTTCTTCTAGTTTTCGAAGTCATTCTTCTTCGCTCAGTGTCATGCAGTAAGCTAAGAAAAATGAGGACGGTTGTAGTAATACAAAGGGTGATGTGTGTGTGGATGAGTGTGCGTGCGTGCGTGTGTGCCGGCTTGTGTGCGTGCGTGCGCGCGTGCTTGCGCGCGTGCGTGCGTGCACGTGTCATTTTACGAACTGAGAAATGCGATATTGCGCCTTTTCCCTTAGTTCTGAATAACAGTGCCGTTCAATCTATATCTGTATGGCATCGTGGAAAGATCTCAGGTTTGAAGACGACGTACCTTGCGGTATCTTATTGACCATTCGCCGGTCACATGCACTATGAGCGGCACCATTTTCAGGCCAGTGATGTAAAGTCAGTAAAATCTAACCACTGCGAGAGCGACATTCCAGTGACCGTTAACGTGTGGGTAACCAACCGGCTACTCGTGCCCACCTCGCGGTCAGACTTCCATGGAATGTCAGCCCGGTTACTCTGGCGGTGCAGGCCACGACGCCAAAATCGTCCAGTCTCAAGTACGACATCACGGGCTGGTCGTCTGAGTCAGGAGCCTTTGTGCAGCTGCTTCGGCTGCCCCGCAAGGAGTTCACGTGCGGCGCTGAGGCCCACATTGACGTCTTCTTCACGACCCGTCTGGGATCGCAGTTCGAGCTGTTTTACCAGGTGAGCTACATTGAGAGTGTACTGTACAGACAGCATTCGGAAATTACAAATAAAGAAGTCATGCTGCATGCACAGGAGGTAAAATAAGGCACTTTCCTTGTAGAGAACTGAACGCTCGGGTAGTGCTGTGAATGGGAAACGTCTTCATGTCATTCAGACCCGGATCAAGCCTCAGACATAGTGTTCTGGTATTTGCAATTTAAAAAAGCTAAGACTCCAGGCGTCGTTATTTAATAGCGTCAGTCCTAGCTATGCTTTATAAGGGGACAGTCTTATCCTCCTGCTACTGTTTGAAGACGTGCCTTTAGCGGTCATGCTGTTGCAACTCGCGAAGCAAGACCGAGGACTGCAGTCGGAGAAGCGTGTTGACCTTGTGTTCGCCGGGCGCGTCAGGTCACGGCCAACAGCGACATCTTGCTGGCGGACTTAGTGCCGGTGACGTTTTCCGAGGCGGTCGACGCCTCTGCACTGCAGGAGGGCACGGTCGTTGACCTGCCCACGGTGTCCGGGTCACACCCCGTCGGTGAGAGAGGCGTCACCGGCTGGTGCGGATGGGTCGCCTAATCAGTGTCACGATAGACGGAGCGGTTGAAGATATGTCCCTGACACTGGGCGGTTTGTGGTGCATAGCGAGTAGTTTAAGAGCTGGCTTGAGTTTAGTGTTTTGTTGATGCACGATTTTGCTGCACTCGCTATGGAAATCGCTCTGCGCCGTTACAGCGTCACGCACTGCGTCCAACACAGTCAAGCACCGCCGCATATGAAGCGCCTGGCCCAGAACAGTACATAACAGTACACGGTACATAACGGACATTATAGCTGAAGGAGTGGCGATGACACCACGCAGCTGATCATGCCGCGCATGACTGAGGAGTGAGAAAACTATGGCCATTTTGGAGTTTGCACGTGTCGGTACCAAGATGTCAGCCCCGTAACAGTTTGTGCGTCTGGCATACTGTCATCAGCCAGCTGTTATCCATGTAACCGGCGAGCCACGGGCAGCAGGGAAACACCAACCGGTCTGCGTCAACAGGTCAGGTGGCGCTCACGATCCCAGTGACGTCATCCATGTCCTCGGGCTTCCATGTTCTGGTCTACATGGTGATTGATGGCGAGGTGATCGCGGACAGCCAGTCGTACGCTGCGGAGCACTGTCTGGACAACCAGGTGTCGCTGCGCTGGTCGCCTGACCGCGTCCAGCCACGGGACACCGTGCATCTGACGTTGACGGCTGCTCCCGGCTCGCTTTGTGGACTCGGTGAGTGGTGGGCACTCTCCGTCCGCGGGGTGACAGTTGGCTCTCGGTGAGTGGTGGGTACTCTCCGTCCCCGGGGTGACAGCCTTCTTACAGTGAGTGGTGGGTGCACTCCGCCCATGGGGTAACAGTCAGCTCTCGGCGAGTTGCGAGTACTTTCCGTCCACGGGGTAACAGGTGGCTCTTGGTGAGCGGTGCATACGCTCCGTTTATGGGTGACTCATCGTCTCCGTTTGTCCGTATTTCCCTCTCAACATTCAGTACTCCCGGCCACCACTTTACCTAGAGGCCAAGTTGATGGCGGTTTTGTACGATTTATGTGAGTAACCACCGTCATCAAGCCGGAGAATGACGTCCCTCACCAGGTCATCAAGCCAGAGAATGACGTCATAAACCATTGCGAATGATCCAGGCATCAGTGACTCCACATATATTTGACCATTCACCATGCATTAACTCATGATACACATCATTTCACTGTCGTTTGGACCAATTTTTAAGCTCGTTAACTAAGTGCTATCTGCCCAGCCTTTTCTTTTTTAGAGTCCCATTTTCTTTTATTTTCTCATGTACCTGGCTCCATCGTACTGAAGCGACCACACCATGCACCGTCCCTGCATATGCATGTTCGTTTATGAGCAGTGCTTTACATCAGAAGTGACCATATTCATATGTGCTACCATGCAACATGTGACTACACGCTTAAGACAGCTTGGCTCACGGATTTTCTCATGATAGGATGAATACCTCGAGTGAGAAGATCAGTTCTGAAAGCGTAACGAAACTGATATGTCCGTGGGCCTATGATTGATTATATAACTATGATCACCCAGCCCATAACAATGTCCAACAGACGCTGTTGGGTGGAGATGTATATCGTCAGGCGACACTTCATGCAGACTTAGTAACTTGTTTACCCTTGTTTTGAGCATTCCCACTGTTGGAAAGGAGAACCGTTCCTTTCCACGTGTGCAACTTTTGATTTATAGCATAAAATATCGCATTTTCTACTTCGCGTATTTGAATGCGTGATAAAAAATGAATAGGTGAATGCGCGATGAAATAAATCGATAGGTGAATGTGTGGTGTTATATCACGTTGAAATCTGTTTGCTGATGTGGTTGACAAATCGGTGAGTCTACTCGGCGATGAGAACAAGATCACGCTGTCTGGCATCTATAAGAGCCTTCGATTTCTCATCTCGAGTGATGACATCGTTAGGATCAACGACGATGAGTACTGCAGGGCCAAATGTGAGTTCAGTCAGTGCGACTCAGACAATTTGCAATGCCGCATCGGAGCGCACGCTGTTTTTCGGGCAAGACGCGTGGCATTTACATGGATACTTTCTGGAGCGCATACAGGATATCCTCAAGAAGGGGAAGCAAAGCCATGAGGAGGGGCACAAACCGATAAGGGAGCATATACAACCATGGGGAGGGGCACATACCCGTGAAGAGGGGCGCGAAGCCATGTAAAGAGACAACCACATGAGAGGAACACAAAAACATGAGGCGAGGCACGGTCCAAGACTTTCTTGAAATGCTTGCAATGTAGCCATTACTTGTGGAGAGCCATATCGCATATACGTGAAAGGCGAAAAAAGGTATGGACATGTGCTAACCGTGACTGCCTAAAGGGAGTGTTTCACATTTGAGTAGGGTTTTGAACCGAAATAGCCATCTTAAGATCATTCGGTACAATTTGCAACCCCTCGTTCTTAAGACAGAAAACACACTAGCTTCTGAGCTACGCCCTCGTGAAGTTATACAGAGTATTTCGTGCAGACTATTTTAGGGTAAATCAGGCGTACATAACGCCACATAAATACCATTTAAATACCCCCACCCCATTGTGGGTGAGACGTTCAAATTCAAGAAGAATGTAATCGTCGAGTCGTTCAGGTCTGGCCTTCGTGAGCACCGCTTCCAGGTAAAACGGACATTAATTAGCATCAATGTTGTGCAGACGGTGCAAGTTTTAAGCACGACTTACGTTTTGCGGTACAAAATTCAAGAAGTTGGGTGTGAACAATAGCCATTATAGAAATAGGGCTTCCAATAGAATAACTTGATATTAATGCGATAACCGAGTAAGTGAGTACAAGCAAACAACTTAAACTCAGCAAGAATGTGGAAGAACGCCACGAAAGAGGGTCAATACACCAGTTCATACTTATATTTACTTTAGTAAACACGACAGCACGGCCACCGCCAACTCTCGGCAAGTTGAAGTGCTAAAGGTGAGATGTAGGCTGCCAATTTGCACGGCCAGTTTGTCAGCACCTCTAACGTTATTTAAACGTTCCATGGCGTAATCAAACAGTGCCGTGTTGAAGGGAATATGTACTAAGTAGAGAAAGTATGTTGTTTATAATGGTTCTTCCATTTCGAAGCATAATAATAGTTAAAGGTGATATTGACTGTATTACATCTCATGCAACCTGTAATATGTTCGAATGTGGAGCGCTCCCTCATGCACGTGATGTATTTTAACCTGCGCTGCGTGGTGCTGTAGAAGTGTTTATGATCATTGTGGGTCGGCTAGTTCGCTGCCTCTTGATCGAACGGAATCTGCAGATGGACATTCGGACTAAGACTGAATGTTTTGGTGACCGCTTAATTGGGACAGGCCCCCTTTCCCCGTGTACGCTGCGGTGGTAATGTAGTAATAAGAGATCCCTTTTCGTCTGCGCTTCCTCCAATATCTCAGCACACGTCTTACAACTGAAATAGCGCCGCAAGTAAAACCTCTCGGTTCAGACCTATTACATCTTTGAAATGGCGGTGCTGTTGATTATTTCCGACTGCAAGAGGAGAAACTTTGCACGTCTGTGGCACACATGCCATGGTGTTGGTCAAACGCACATATCACCTATATGCATCGCAGCATATGATAGTTGACCGAGATGCTACATTAACTTCGCAGTGTGGACATGCCAGCTGTTGACCGCTTGTAAGGCTGCTTGCTGCATGGCCCACAGATGGACCACCGTCGGCGCCATCGCCACCCATTTCGGATGATCCTCGCGTTCAAATTTTCCAGCGACCGGACCTTGAACAGTAAGCTAGACGGTTCGCGTACATGCATCGTTGCGTTTATGGCTTCAATCATTAGTGCGTCACGCACTGTAGTGACCTTTTTTGTCGTTATCTTTGGTTCGTCTTTGGCATGGCATTACGTGTTTGAGGTCGGTGTATCGAGCAGCCCTTATGCTCAGGCCAGGTTTAAGTCCGTCTTTACTTACATTTTAGAACTTGAGATTTGTGACGACCGATGACCGACATCGTTGCTGCAAGGTCAAACACTGTAATGCAGAGCCTTGGTTTGAACGAAAATAGTCGGACCCGGTCTGGGTCGTACAGTTGCTTGAATTAGGTATTGTTATGCTATGTTCATAATGCGGTAAAGGCTATCCAATGACTTAACCAAATTTAGAAACATAATACTACTCATATAAATTGTCAGTATCATTTATTCACACTTTCTACGAACTAACTGGATTCATCAGGACGTCAGTCGTGTTTCTATTTTTCATCAGGCGTATGTTATTGTCGTCAAACACGCTCCCGATAAGTCTGGAGCATAAACAACGTCAGCAGCTCGATCAGCGTCGCCAGGTCATATGCGACGTCACTAACACGCGTCACACGTAGTGGGTGACGTCACTCTGTGGTGTGTGCCAGGCGGGCCGCCGTCCCCTCGCGGCTTTCCATCACCCCCGCCGGCTAGGAAGAAGAGGCGATCGCAGCCGTTCTCACCACCACCGCTGTCATATTATTGGGAGACTACCCACGCCGATTCACTCACCGCATTCCGTGTAAGTATTTGGTCAACTGAACGCCGGTGAGACTGGCTAGACTGAACAGATAGTGATCAGACTTGTTAGACCGGTGTACTTAAAGAGAACGTATGCTGCAAGTTGAGTGGACAAAATATGGAAATCGGTCGGCAATATGTGAATGCTATCGAGTGTGTACAATTTTTTATTTGGGATTACCCATCTGTGGAAATAAGTGCTCTTGTGGATCCAGTTGGTAGTAGCTGTGACCTAGTCGGTGGACCTAGTCAGTTATAGACCTAGTTAGTTGTGACGTGAAGTCGCTTCGTCGCGTCTGAAAGACAGCAGCACGATCTGCCATCGCGTTCGAGTGCATCACTAAGCCATCTGGGCTGCATCAACACTGGGTTATTTAGTCCTGCCAGTGTTGCATGAGTTAACAACACACATGCGCGCTGGAAAATCTCCGGCAAGTTATGACCCATTCACCAGCCTGGTCATGTACGCATCACTGAGAAGGGATCTTTCACGCAGCCTAAAAATTGTTTATTTAAACGGGCCAATTTCGGTGTTGTGTTGATCTATGTCGGATGCATTTTTCGTTCACCTTGAAACCATTCTGGGTACAGTCACACGCCTGATTGAAGTACGAGATTTCACGGCTCCTGCCGCCGTGCCGAAGATTCTAACTTCACAGGAGTCTGGCCGGCTTCTGCTTGCCGATCTGCGGCACGAGGACAGACCATGCCGAAAACATTCTACTCTCCCACGTATGAATATGCGGACTATTATGATGACGTCGATGGATATACGATTGCGGAGATGTCCCCAGTTATTGAAGGTCTAAGGTCCAACCAACGTACCACCATTTCTCCTTTCCGTCATATGCACGTTGCGTTTGCATGGCACAAATGTATTTGGGTAGTTGTTGCTTAATTGCCTGGATATATTTACAAATGCATGTCAAGCTCTCCAGCTTCGCAGATACACCAGGTGGCAAGGAAGCAGTGTTCTGCCTCCTCGTTCATCGCTCCCGACTTGGCAGCAGACTTAACCGTCTCGAGTAGTCAAGGGAATAAAGGCGCTCTAACAAACCGAGCTATCGCGACGAACAAACATGCAATGTTTTAGGTGGTGTGGAGGAACTGATGTTAGCCGCGCTGCATGGTAACCTTTAGTGGGACCCTGCTACGATACAGGGGGAGGCCCAGTTACAAACGAGGCAGGCCCATGTTCCGTGTTGAACCGCTCTTTTCATTCAGGATGCTCGTTTTATGCATCTCGATGGCGTATTCCTAGCAACAGGAGCCCATTTCATGCATCGTCAGGTGGCTGCGGTTTCGGATCACGATGCCTTTGCGTTGGGGTGCGGAGGCTTCTTGGCTATACTCGAAGCCCACTCGTTAATCGCAAGCACCCCATTCTCAAAAATGGGGTCCCTTATGCATCAGGAGGCTCTTTTCTTGGGACTTGGCACCCTGCTGTTGGTTGTAAGACCGTTTGCTGGCGAATTAAAAGGCCCCATTCAGAATCTTTTATCTGTCGACATTGACTTTCTTTGATATGATGCATATAACAGTTTGGTAAGAGAGCACATGCCCTCGGTGCCACTCCCCGCTGAATACCACACTGCCTAAGGAGTCCCTCCCCCCCCCCCCCCCCCTGTGAAGAAGATCCCATTTTGTCCAGTAGGCCCCCGGAAACTCCTGCTCCCAAACTCACAACCCGTAGCGCTCCCCCTCCCAATGTATCAATATCTAGTTACGTTTGGCATGTCTAAAAGTTGTTATTTCCTACATTCATCATATTGCATGCACGCGTATTTTTTTCAGATAAAGTGGGACAGGGATGCATTCTCTATCGTCAGGCGAATTCGGTGGACGGGTCTTCGCGAGATCATTAAAAACCAGCGTCGCTAGCATTTACAACGAGGACCTTATCCAACTTTGACATACTACAAGACAAAACAAGTGTGCAACGTCACCATGAAAACAGTCCAAATGACGACAAATAACTGAAAAATGTCATTGTATGCTGTGAGATCCAAAAACCGAGCACAGATTAAGGGCTGCTATATAATTGGCATGGCAACAGCTCTGTCAAGACGCTTGACCATGCGATTAATGCCCCTCATGGGTGGTCGATTTCTGAAAATGTTCGTGTGGGGGGGGATGAGGGCTAGATTCGTGGAAGTCGTCGTCATAAGGGGACAGGGCCAAGACCTTCTCGGATCTCGTGCCTAATGTTTTGGATATCATTTATATATATATATATATATATATATATATATATACGTATGTGTGTGTAAAACATGCTTAGATATCCTTTACAGCTCATGTGCTTAGCCACAGCAATCATGCACGGAAGCCACACAGATTGCATCTGCTTTTTGTAAAAGCGCCTCTTCCGTGAAGCTGAAGGAATTGCAGTTACAGCTCTCTTGCAAACTGGAAATTAAAGTTATGTATAATTTGCCATTTCGTGCTTAGGAATTTGTGTGCTGATTCTTTCGCTCACAACAATAACGCGTCCAGTGTTCACACTATATTTGGCTATCATAATCCATTTATACGCGGGTTCCCAAGACACCTAAATTTCATTGATAAAACGTATGCATTTTGGTGAACATTAATGTAAACAATTTCACGTGAAATACCGTTAATGTTTATTTCACGTACAGTTTAAGAACATGATTCTTAACATTCCTGCAAACACGCTTAGGCAGATGCCCTTCTGTTAAAAATGTACTTTCCCTGCTCCTTTCGATTAACACGAGCCCGGGCCGCCGGTTGAAAAACCTTTGCTCGGGTGGGGGTCAAGTTGACCACCGAGATCTCATAATCCAAAAGAGAGCTAAAGAGACCATGTTCATAGGGCGTGTTGGCCCGTACGTAAACTCGCTTGGGTCAGAGTTTAAGGTCCCTAGGTCATGAACTTCGTGCCGAATAAGGTCAAACAAGGTCAAACTTCAAAATCGTCTTAAATGCATGTCCAGAATCTAGATACCTCCTCTGAGTAAAAAGTTGCATGCTCGTTCAACTCAAGTTACCTTGCTTGACGTTTCTAAGGTTATGGTTGCCAAAATCAAAGAAGACTGCCCTGAGTTTTGTATATAAATCAGCGACAAAGGTTACGCCAAGCAGTATACTTCTAAAAACAAAATGTTGACTTGGGTTATTCCAGGTCAGTGACCTGTTTTGACCTTTAAGAATTCCATGGAAAGTGTTCTATGCGGTTCCCATTATCAATAAATTTAAAAGGCGCACCAGAAACTACCCCGCACAGCAGGCTCTGGAGCAATGAAACAGGTTGGTTTTGACCTTGGCCTGACCCTCACGTCTGATCCTAGGTCAATAGAATTTGTTCATTTATTTGGTGTGTTACCTAAGGAAATCTTTCACATGCATGGATTCGTCTAACACTCCGATATTTTATCAGATTGAACAAATCCTCAGAAGTCGACTCCGCTAAATCGATAGCGCGACTTTGACCTGCCTTAGGCCAGCGATCTTGCACAGTACATCTAATTTTGTGATGCCACATGATCTGCTATTCAATTATCTATTGGTACGCCAAACTTGGCGCCGCTATGCCGCGCCGTTCGGAAACCGTGCCGGAAATATCCTCGGGGTGGTCAATTTGACCCCCACCCGAGCAGGTGTTAACACAAAATGTAAAGCCAGCCATTCGTCTGGGGGACACTGTTCCAAGCTTTTACACCTCTGAAGGGAAAGCAGCTGTGATTCGTTTCACTTCCAGTGCGTGAAAAATGAAACATCCGTCATATTAATGTATTGCGTAATTTAGGTTGATTGTAACAGTATTGCTAGTTGTCTGGTTTTTTCAATTACCATGCGATGATACTTACGTACGCATACTCGGCGCTCAGTGAGCGTACCGACGCTGGGACACAGCCAGAGTCTTGGTAATGGGCATGGGACGCAGGGTTATACAACCTTTACCCTGGGGAAAGGCCCCCACCACAAATAGCAGTAATTGGATATGGCCCACATGATTTTGAGTGGAGGCCCTTCTTTAAAACCAGGATTCATCAATAGGTGCAATGCTTTCATGTGTTTGAAGTTAATAAACTGAAGGAAACACACCGGCGTTACTCAATTTACAATGTTTCTATGGACTCGTTCTAAGTCGATAGCACTCGGGGGCTGTGCCGGAATTTTCCGGGCTGTACAGAGTCATCGTAAACGTAGATTTAGATCGAACTGAGGTCGTAAATTTGCATCCACATCAGCCTGTTTTGTTATCAAAATGCCCGAATTTGTTCAGAATCAAGTAGGAGAAGAATTACATAACCCAGTTTTGGCCTTGCGCGCCGGTCTTATAACAAAACATGCAGTATACAGGAAAAAGGCAGAAAAATCAACTCAAGTAAAACCACCTACGCTCGGCGTTGCAGTCTCCAGAGGGCGTGCCGCGTCGTGCTTGTCTGACACTAGGCAGTGACCAACGGGCGGACGAAAATGACAATGCTTCTGGAGGAGTTACCTTTGAACGCATTCGGGCGTCAAATGAATCGCTTGGAAGGTATTCCGAGAGTATGTTTCACGTGAGCAATTTTATATTTATAGTATAAACTGACTTGCATTCATTGCATCGTGAACCGCTGCAAGGATTTGGTGGTAAACTAGACAAGTAAATATAGAATCTCTGTTTTTGTGTTGTTTTCCCTGTTTCTCCCTCCAGAGCATAAGCTCAAAATTGTTTAAGCTGAAGATACGCGGCAGTCCAGTTTCTCAACGGTACGAATTGATTTTTAAGAGATTTTTGGACCATTTCTTCACGGTGGCTGTTCTCGGGTGCCGGGCACCCACCACCCAGTGCTATCTGCATTGGCCAATGCCGCTCGCTCTCACGGAAACTGAAGCCCCGGCCACTGGTGCTGTTGCTCCTAAGATTGCGATCATGCAAGCCCAAAACTGCTTTATGCAATTCACTTCACATGATGGCCTGAATCAAGAATGGACGCCTCGTTTGTGTTGGCCTTCTCATTTTTACCTCATTGTGATCTGCCCTGTTCA